GGTTAGACTGTGATTAATGAGTAATAGACTGTTCTCTGCCACAGGACTAAATAAAAGCCTACCTGGGTTTCATCACGAACAGCAACACCTTGCTTTTTAGACCCCACGTTTATATAGCTGTATGTAAAAGAAAAATAACAACAATCAAGCATATATGTCAGAAGCCTGTCACAACAAATAAGTGATCACATCTTTTGGATTTAACTTTTATTTTTATTTTTCTGCTAATTTTTTACTAATCGTTTCTCATGTTTTTCAGAAAAAGACATGGCTAACAATATTATGTTACTTATTTACTGTACTCATTAATTGTCTTTAGCCAATGCCAAACAATGTTGTTGTGATTAGCAAAGCTACACAAGATGCTAACATTAGCTCCGTTAGAGGCTATTTTCTTCTCATTTTAAAATATCCATTAAAAACGTATATTTCTTCTCTGTGTTGTGTATGTTAGCTTGTATCAAAGTATAGCCTGGTGTTGTCTGTGTATGTTTTCATATAACCTACAAGTAGGTTTTTTCAGTCGTAGCCTAGTTTCTTTTTTTCCCTATTTTGCACCTTGAATGTTACTATTCTTTTGAAAGAAGTTTTCTTGAAAGATTTAAAAAAATTCACTTACAAATGACAATTGTGGCACGAATTTTCATTTCTTAATATAATGAGTAACCTTTAGCATTAGCTACAACAGAATGATTCCCAAGGTCAGTTTTTTTTCTCTTGTACTCACTTCAGCTTTTTAAACTTTTCAAAGCCAGCAGCAACATATTGGGCTCCGGTCTGAAGGTCCTGGAGGTCTGTGACCTTGTGGCCCTGTCTGGGCGTGTACAAGTTCCTAACAGCCAGTGGTGCTCCAATGGTCAGGGTCACTTCATTCAGGAAAGCCTCCATGGTAGCCACTTGTCGCTGGTTGACCACAAACCTACGTCCACTGTAGAAGGGGTCTCCATTCCTGTATACTACCACACTCTTCACAGGCGGCAGAAGAGTAGTGGCTGCGGTGCTCCCAGCCATTTCTAAACTACCCTTCAGTGTCAAAGTTCAAATATTTGTAAGTGTTAAAAAGCAAAAAGTGAATTGAATTGAGTTTCAAACATCAGATTCATTCACACTCATACAACAGGAACACAACAATACAGAGGTCCAGTTCGTACTCACACTGTTGAATCAGTCAGTTGGTCAGTCTGTCTGCTGGAAGATGAAGCACAGAGATGAGGCAAAGGTGAAAATGAGTCCCTGCTGACTGTTGTTGTGCTGTCTGGACTCCCACTCGCCACGTTCTGATCCTCTCCTTCACTACACACACACTTACACACACACACACTGCACTACTGATGGCGGTGAGTATTTCCTGGTTGCTATGGCAGCATGACCAGCAATGACTGGCTGCGCGGGTCAAACCATCAGCTGCAACCACAACAAAAGACACAGACAGAGCAGTGGCTGGCTGTGGAATTCACCGAACCAATAACAGATCGATAACAGTAACTGAGCGTCAACTGTTATCTGGATAAAACAAAGTTAAATTGGTGGAAATATTGAATTACTACCTAGTACAAATTCAAGAACCAGGTGACAACATTATTGAAGCCATCTTTTTTTTCATCAGGGTGTTAAATGTTTACTATTTATAAAACTTGATTTTATTACATTAAAAAAAGTTTTTTTTTACTATATATAGTCTGTTTTTTATTTACTTTTTCTTAGTTCACTCATTTTGATCCCTTTCCAATTTAAACTTGACTTTTCCATTTATCTGTTTATATTTACTCGTTCATATCTTACTTTCAATCTTTTCTGTTGGCTACGTTTAAGCTGTTTTGCTACATTCAGTCCATTCCCGAAAAGAAAATTACCTGTTTGCTAACAAAAGTAATATTCAACTTATCTTTTAGTTTTTTGATTAATTTGAATTTGAATTTGAAATTAATTTTATTTTTGACAATTTTTCTGCTAACAAAAGTAATATTCAACTTATCTTTTAGTTTTTTGATTAATTTGAAAAATATGAAAAATGTTTTTTTATTTTTGACAATTTTTTTGTTTTTGACAATATTTAGCATGCCTTGAAGAATTCATTAGTGTATTATTACTGTATTTCTCTGGCTTCTTCCGGTACATTCCCTGGTATGACACAATAACCGGCAGCAGCAGCCGCGGCAGCAGCAGCAGCCGAGTTGATTCTCGCGTGCGTGTATATTTATAGATTGATTGTGAAGAGTGAGCGCACGTTTGCCGTTCTCCGAATGAGAAATTTGAGCTTCTGCACAACAAAACACAAACTTGTTTTGAGTTGGGAAACCTCCCACTGACGCGTCTACAATGGTGTCTTCCGACACAATGGTTAACTACCTCAGCCTCCAATGATTTATGTCAGCAGGACAAAAGGGGTGAAACCACAGCATAGAGAAAAACAAGCCAGGAAAAGACGCGTTAGAAAAATAGCATTTATTCAAGTACATACATACAGTTTGACAGCATTAAAAATAAAGTGTATACGTGACTGATCGAGCACATAATGATTCGTTTTTCAAAGCAGCGTTTGACCGACAACTGTCTTCAGGACATCAGTCTCCCTCCATTGAGTCAGAGCTCGCTGTCAAGACACCGTCAGCCTGTTCTTCAATGACAAATACTGTTGGGAAAAGGTTTATACATTACCGTCACTCAATCCATAGATACCAAGTTTTAAGGATGAAATTATACACGGTTTCTTGTTATACATGCTTAGTGAACGCAATACAGCATCGGCAGCAGAGAAATAAACGCTACCTCGTAGCTCTATTGTTACACTGACTTATTTTCCAGGCAGCTGAATAAATTCTGGCTTGCAGTGAAGGCAATTTTCTTACAGCAGGAGACTGCCACTGCTGAAAGAGCATAGGAAACACTACATCTCTGTCCCTCCCTCCATCTTACCTTTTTCCTGCTGTCAATGGCCTGTTGGATCCAGACCAGCTCCATGGTCAGAGTGTTTCTGTGGAGACGAAGGCCCTCTGGAGTTTGGGGCACATCCTGAGCCAAGCAGTACTGACGCAGACCTGTGATCAAATGACATATATACATGTTTCCCTTCATGCCAATTCCTGTAGCCTTAATAGTAAATGCAACCTATATAATTTAGATTTTTTTTAAATAAGTTGATGAACAGGTAAATGCAACCTATATAATTTAGATTTTGATGAACAGCAGCTGATGTGTTGTTTCCTTTGATCGCAGCAACTTTTAATGGAGACAAACTGAAATTTCCAAACGGATTAACTTTCAGACATTTTAAGTTTTTTAGCATTATATATATAGCTTTAAATATAATTATATAACATAGTAATTACCCCCTTTTTAGGCTGTGGACAATTGGCACAACATAGATGAAACTATGTGTTTTTGGAAAATGGAACGAAATATACTTTTTTTCTATCATTTTGAGACACAAGATGTTTGATTTCAACAGTATGTTTGCCGTTACCCATACCTTAAGATTATAACTCAATTACAAACCAAAAACAACAGGGGGTAAGAGGTACAACCCTCACCTGGGTGAGAGCAAATGTTGTTCACATCCAGGTCCAAACTGCCCCAGTTGCTGGTGGAGTTTCCCGTGCTCTCCACGTCTGTTACATCTTTATCTCCCTCCTGACCTCTCCGTCTCAGGTCCAGCTCGCTGACCTCAACATGGTTGTTATGGAAACAGTCTTGTGAATGACAGGCAAGGTCTCTGCTCTGTGAGTCATCTCTCTCTGGTACCGTCTTTTGTAGAAGAAGAAGAGCAGGATCTCCTCCTGTCTTTGGTGATAAGGATGCTGCCCATGCTGCTGAGCTCTGGGGACTCGTGCTGACGTCCACTCCTGAATCTGTAGGTTTACTGACATCACTGCTGGGTACATATGGGTCATCCTGATGAGTGAGGGAAGAAGAGAAAGGTGTTTGCATGGTAAAATGTGGTGGTAACTTCAACTTTGGCCTCAGGACCATAACCAGGAAAATGTAGGGTTCTTTTGCTGTGAGTTTTGGACACAATAATTTCCTTGTATTATTAAAGCCGAATAATTGTTATATTATTATTTTCTGGATTTTTACAGAGAACGTTTAAACTTCTCAGTCAAGCTTTTAGCCGTACTGTTGAGTTGCCAATTACAAGCACACGAACACAAACATTTAGCCGTTAGGTGACTTACTACGTCTGTAAAGCGCGGTGCAGGGATGACTGTCCTGCTCCACAGCACATGTGCCAAATCACCGTCGATCTCATTCACGATGTCTTCAAAGTCTTCTCGTGCACGACCCACTTCTCTACGCACCAAAAAGCCGCGTGCACGTGCCTGCACATAAATACAAACAGTAACGAAAGGAGATGGTCATTCGTACGTAAAAGACTAGCAACAAATGACTAGCTTCAACCGTTAGCAAGGACTAGCAACGGTCAATACATGTTAAAAAAAGTTACTCGGGGTATAAAACTATAATAGAACGGTGGCTCAAAATTTAAAATAAACACTACCTGAAAGTGAGTTAACACCGTGTCCTCTCTGGCCATCGCTATGGTAACCTAGAAGCATTACCCGGAAAGCGGCAGAAGAAGTCAAACTTTTATTAAGTTCCGGTGTGAACCCAAAACACGCAACTCAGGTCATTATGGAAATATCACGGCGAGCAAAAATTATATCTCGCCAAATTTCTATACTTATCTAAAATATGGGGTTAATTGCAATTGAAACTCAATTTTACATATATTGTTCAAACCGTAAGTTAAATGATTGAATAAAAACGCAGTACAGCGTGTTGTTTTATTTTGAAAACTCGTTGACGGAAGTGCCTTATGTTGACATCATGTTCAGTTCGCCACATAGCTGCTGCTAATCACATGGCACTTTTATTTAAGTTTATTGCCACAGCTGAGGAGAATGGACGCTGGCTCCAACCAGAGGACGTTGTTCCAGACCTGGGGAACAGCGGTCTCACAAAGTAAAGCAGCGAAGCCCCAAAATGTGGGCGAAAAACGGCGGAAAACAACACATGACAGCAGCACAGTTCGAGTAGCTGCAACAAAACACACCTCTTTAAATCCTTTGTGGACTGAATATGGAGAAAGTTCGACAAACACACCAGACACCACGGTGAGGCCAGATGAATCTACTGCGTTTGACTGTGAAGATGACGACGATGACGTTATGGTGGTTGCCGTCTACGAGGCGGAAAAGAACCTGCAGTGTGAAAATGCTACAAACTTGACTCTAAATGAAAACTGTGTGGAAGCAGAGAGCAGGTCTCTCTCTCCAGTCCCACTGAGTGGTAGGACGTTTCCAGAGCTCCCTGGGTTTGACGGCTCCTCAGCCAAAGTATGGATCTACCCTACCAACTACCCCCTCAGGGAGTACCAGCTGAATATGTCAGAGGCTGCTCTGTTTCAGAACACTCTGGTGTGTCTGCCCACTGGTCTGGGAAAAACCTTCATAGCCTCTGTGGTGATGTACAACTTCTACCGCTGGTATCCTTCAGGGAAGATTGTTTTCATGGCTCCAACCAAACCCCTGGTGGCCCAGCAGATCGAGGCTTGTTATAAAGTGATGGGGATCCCACAGGATCACATGGCCGAGCTGACAGGTGAAAGAAAGACACACAAGTCTCCTGCTCTTGTCACAAGAAGTTTGGTCCACATATGCCACAATGTCTTTGGGCCACGTTAGCCATTTAGACAGGTCTGGTTTAAGAAACAACATGGCAGGTTGTTGACAAAGCACCTAGCATCTTGCTAAATCTTTTCACAGGCACCTAGCATCTTGCTAAATCTTTTCAGTGTTCCACAAAGAGAACTAAACCAAGCGTCTGACACGGCTCACTCATAGAACATCTACTGTGTCCCTCTGCAGGCAGCACCGCAGCCAAGCAGAGACAGGAAGTGTGGAGGTCCAAGCGTGTCTTCTTCCTCACCCCTCAGGTCATGGTGAATGATTTGTCCAGAGGCACGTGTCCAGCGCAGCAGGTCAAGTGTGTGGTGATCGATGAAGCCCACAAAGCACTGGGGAACCATGCCTACTGTCAGGTACAAATGTACTCGACGAGGTGATACATTCTGTCCTGTTTCATTGCAGGATTGTTTGTGTTGAAATGCTTTATAATACTGCTTTGTCTGATCTTCACTGCTTTTCAGGTGATCAGACAACTCACCAGTCAGACACTACAGTTCCGTGTGCTGGCACTGAGTGCTACACCAGGAGGTGATTCAAAGGTAAGAATCAGAACGTGTTGATACCTTATACTAACCTGTCATATATATTAACAGTTTAACTCTTAGTAAAATCTAATGGCACCTTCCTTCACCTACTTCCTGCCTGCAGTCAGTCCAGTCTGTCATCTCCAATCTGCTCATCTCCCACATTGAGCTGCGTTCTGAAGAGAGCCCTGACATCCAGGCTCATTCTCACCAGCGGAGTGTGGAGAAGATGGTGGTTCCTCTGGGGGAGGCTCTTACTGCCCACCAGGAGCTCTACCTACAGGTAGGCACATGGAACTTTGGACTAGATTTTATATATACAGTATATACAGTATATACAGTATATATATATATATATATATA